CCAAACAATCATCTCCAAAAGCCAGTACTCTCAAAGCTGTTATTTTTGCCTTAATCATGTCATTTTTGACTTATTTTGACGAAACTTTAGCTTTTCAGCGGTGTGCTTTGTGCTCTTGTAAACGCACCCTTCTGGCGCACAGAATTCCATTTTTTGACATTAAAACCCTCCTTTTAGTCTACTTTTTGCTCAGTTCTGTAAACGTATCTCGATACTTATGCATCTGGCAGGCGCATTTCCGAAAAGCAACTCATTAAGCACTGCTATTTCAAGTTTTTTTTGTTACAGTCGAACTTCGATACAACGAATTTGAAATTCTAAAACATGCCCAAAATTTCTGTGTAGCTGCCCCAACCAAATGTAATCAGTGGCTACGCCAGTGCAACTCCAGGGCAGCTACGCCAAAATTTAAGGCACGTTTTTGGTTCGTTATATCGAATAATTCGGTCTCGAGCAATTCGTTATATCGAGGTTCGACTGTATTAATATGCATTTATATCAAACAAAAAATATCATTGAAGCAATACAAAAGTATATTGTTATATTGTGTTGCTTCAATGATATTTTTGCAAATTTTCGACCGTTCGTTACAAATTTTTGAAAGTGTTCGAGCTGGCACTGTTCGACCGTTCGAACTGTTCGGAAATGCGCCCGCCAGATGCATAAGTACCCGTATCTCTTCTAGCGCACAGAATTCCTCGGTTTTCTCGTTTTTCTAACCCATTTCTATCAAAAATCCATCAAATTCCTGTGCTCAAAAATGGGAAACGGCCTTGAAATTCCTATTTTGGCTGTTTTTTGTTCAAGAAAACGATTCAATTTGGGAATTCTGTGCACCAGAAGGGTTAGTTTTACAAAGACACAAAGTACAGGCTTATTTTTGCAAATCAAGTTTCCCGATTTTCCGGTTCATTTACCCAGTTTGACAATTTGTCGTATTTCTTTTCTCCAAACAAATTTCTATTTGAAAATGAGCCTATCTTTTCGATTGAAAACAAAAATTTCGCCTCTAGAAACTTAATTTTTAACAATTTTTAAAAATTTGTTAATTGAATTGATGGTCTTTTAGTGTGCCAAATTGCCTATTAATATTGATGGCCTAGTGATGTACTTTGTGCTCACTTGTAAACGCACCCCTTCTAGCGCACAGAGATCTTCATTTTCACGACATTTCGACAGAAATTTGGAATTCAGTGCACTAGAGGGTGCGTTTAGAAACTTTTAGCACAAAGTGCACAGCACGACGATTATTTTCTATTTTTTTTGTATATTGATCACTTCATTACCATTTTTCTTTTCTTTTCCCTAAACATTTGTATTTTTCTTTCGTTTTCACGTTTTTTTTCTTTTTCAACAAATTCCAGTTTTCCCCAATCGAAATCGACCAAATTGATGGGCGATCTCTTTCCATTTTTTGATATTTTTCTCTCTAATACCTAGATTTTAACGAGGTTTTGACGATTTTGACGGTTTTGACGATCTCGAGTCACGATTCTTATCCAAAATTGATTTGAAAGTTTTTTTTTGAGAGATTCGTGGTTAAAACTTTTACTTTGACTAGATCTTTGTCGTGAAAAACCCTCAATTCGACCGCATTGTTCCTTTCGTTTTCTAAATCTTTTGCTAAAAGGTGTCAAATTTTCACAAAACTCTGCAAATACCGTAGTCTTGGGTACGGTAGTTTGAACATTTGTGTTTTCTGATGTTCTGTTTTCTAAAACTTGCCTCCTTTCCTTTAAAAGTACCGTAATCTTGTCTCTATTTTTCTTAAATCTATCAACTTTTTAGATCTTTCAATATCCTTTATGAACTCTCAAAGAAACAGACAAAAAGTGGATTGATTTGATAAAAATAGAGAGAAGATTACGGTAGTTTAAAGAAAAGGGGAACGTTTGCAGGAACGGATTAAGAGGAGAAGGAAGATACGGCTTAGCTATCATAATCAGTACCTGTACTGTAACGTAATCAGTACAGTACACTACTGTACCGTAGCCAGTATCTTCTACCTAACCGAATATCTGATTCTGTAAGGGTTCACAAAGGATCTAAAGATAAAAGAGTAGATAGATTAGATAAAAACTAAAGATAAAGACGAAAAGACTAACTAACAGTACCCAAAGTACCCCAAAATCTAAAGTACTCCTAAAATAAACTGTTTGAGAATCTAAAGAAACTAAAGTACGGTAATAAAGAGAAAATCTCGACCTTTCACACAAACCATTTAGGAAATTTGAGACGCTAAGAAAACCGGTTAGATTTGGAATGGAAAAGGTTTGATAAGAAGATTCATTCGGAGAGATTTAAAAGAGAAAAAGTGAATGACGAGAATTGTTTGCGCGTTCTTTTCACACAAATAAACACATCACTGAAAATCATTCGTGAACGAGAGTCCAGTTGATTTTATAGACCATTTCTGAATTTCTGAATTTCTGAAATCATTTCTCAACTACCGTAAATGATGAAAAACCGTTTTTTTTTTGCTACTTTTCAATCAGTTTTTTCTAAGCACTGGTTAATGCTATAGATATGTGTTATATATCAAAAAAATCCCCATTTTCTCTACTTTAATTTAATACGTAAACAAATAGAAACAAATGTACTAGTGTCAAGTTATGAGCGTTTCTTTGAGGGTAAACTTTGACTACTCAACGCTTCTGTAAGAGGCTTCTAAAGGAGAAAATTGAGGAATTCAGTGCGCCAGAAAGGTGCATTTACAAGATTTTTTTGAATGTAAAGTACATTTTTGCTGAAATTCCCATTGTTGATTCGCATTTTCTATGTTTGTTCATGAAAAGAATGCCAAAAATTCCACAAATACATCAAAAAAAAAAGTGAAACATCCTCCGCCATTGTCTGCTCAAAATCGTAAAAAAAACACATTTTTTTTTTCTTTTATTTGTTCAATATAAAATAACAGTAATTATTGAATATAAAATAAAAGTCTCCCTTAAAATTGGTGATGCCGCAATAAGATAAGGAACCAAATTTAGAAACTCATCTCTCTAAATTTGGCTCCTTATCCCTCTGAATTTGGTTCCAAATCTCTAAATTTGGTTCCTTATCTTCCTCTACTGAGTACAACACCTTGACCAGCGATCAAGTCGTATGCAAGTGATTTTGCGCCCTCGAGAAACCGAAGTGATCCGGCTTTGGCAACTCGCTAGGATTCACCCAACGAGCAAGGCCATCTGATAGGGCATAAGCTGTAGCGTTACCACTACATAAAAGTGCCTCCCGACACCGAGAGAGCAAAGTTATCATTGCCTTGACTAGGTGGGATTCTAACTTAGAGGCGTTCAGTTATAATCCCGCAGATGGTAGCTTCGCATCTCTCTAAATTTGGTTCCTTATCTCTCTAAATTTGGCTCCATATCTCTAAATTTGGCTCCATATCTCTAAATTTCGTTCCTTATCCCTCTAAATTTGGCTCCATATCTCTAAATTTGGTTCCTTATCTCTCTAAATCTCTTCGCGATTTAGGAGTCTACAGATATGTAGAATAAGAATTTTGTCCGCACACCTCCTCTAAATTTCTCTACACACATAGAAAAAATATGTAAGAAGGCGTCCTTTTGTGCGAGCAAAATTCTTAGCTCTATTTGCATACCAGATATTAATATATATATAGGAAATGCTTTACTATCTACGTTCGCCCGATCCTCAAGTATGCTTCTTTAATTTGGTCTTTAATTCCTATTTCTAAATCCCTAAGCGTTTTTCTGAACCTTTTCAATTTTGTCGCTTTTTTGGATTTGGAAGCATATTGGAACCATATTGGAACCATTTTCGAACCATTTTCGAACCATATTCCTGGAAGAAACCTATTGGAACCATATTGGAACCATATTGGAACCATATTCCTGGAAGGAACCTATTGGAAGCATATTGGAACCATATTGGAACCATTTTCGAACCATATTGGAACCATTTTGAAACCAAATTGGAACCATATTCCTGAAAGGAACCTATTGGAAGCATATTGGAACCATTTTGGAACCAAATTTGAACCAAATTCCTGAAGGAAACCTATTGGAACCATATTGGAACCATTTTGAAACCAAATTGGAACCATATTCCTGAAAGGAACATATTGGAACCATTTTGGAACCATATTGGAACCATTTTCGAAGCATTTTCGAACCATATTCCTGGAAGGAACCTATTGAAAGCATATTGGAACCATATTGGAACCATTTTGAAACCAAATTGGAACCATATTCCTGAAAGGAACATATTGGAACCATTTTGGAACCATATTGGAACCATTTTCGAAGCATTTTCGAACCATATTCCTGGAAGGAACCTATTGAAAGCATATTGGAACCATATTGGAACCATATTGGAACCATTTTGGAACCAAATTTGAACCATATTCCTGGAAGGAACCCATTGGAACCATTTTGGAACCATATTCCTGAAAGGAACATATTGGAACCATATTGGAACCATTTTGGAACCAAATTTGAACCATATCCCTGGAAGGAACCTATTAGAACCATATTGGAACCATATTTGAACCATATTGGAACCATATTGGAACCATTTTGGAACCAAATTGGAACCATATTCCTGGAAGGAACCTATTGAAACCATATTGGAACCATATTGGAACCATATTGGAACCATATTCCTGAAAGGAACCTTTATTTACTTTATTTCTTTCTAAATAAATTATTTATATATATAAATATTCATTAAAAACTTGTAAAAAAAACTGATTTTTTTAATGTAATTTTTTAGCAAATTAACTCATTTTTAGTGAACTTTGTGTTAAAATTTTTGAACGCAACCTTCTAGTGCATTTGTTTTTTCAATTTTCTTCAAGAAATGATTCAATTTCACAGAAAAATATAAAGATTTCAGTGCACTAGAAGAGATGCGTTTAGAAATTTGAGTACAAACTTTGTTTATTCTTTGATTCTTTGATTGTTTTAGTTGAAAGTGGTGAAAAGAGCGATCAAAAGAGTCGACTATTGCCTCAACAAGTGAAATTTGATGAAATGGGACTACTCGACAATATTCGACAGTACGTTTTTTTCTATATAAGAATCTTTTTATATAATAGAAGTTTTAAAAACACGCCTAGAAGAGACTTTTTAGAAATTTTAGAAATCGACACAGTACTTCAAAAGAAAATCTTTTGTGTCAGGGTGTTTAAAAATTTTTTTAACCGTACTTTCTCTAATAGTAATGCACCAAGAGCGTCGCCTAAATTTCTCGAAATCTCGAGAACCGCTTATCAGAACCTATCGATGTAGACTAGGGCCAACCGAGCAATAGTGAAGCTACAGAGTCGATCAGAAGTACAGCCTAATTCCTTTGCTAATTCCAAAAGGCTAAGGATTAGAGTCAAGAGTTAGATCAAAGAATTTGGAATCGAGGGGGAGTTGAATCCTTAGCCTTCTGCTTACTTTCCGCTTACCGTATTCTCTCTAATAGTAATGCACCCAGTGTGTCGCCTAAATTCCTCGAAATCTCGAGAACCGCTTATCAGAACCTATCGATGTGGGGTCGGAAAATGTAGCTGACGATGAGATCTTGACGATGATTTGAGTCTTGAGCTTCTGGGAACAATTGGGAACGAGAAAATAGGCATCAACTCGACTGGGTGCACTATTAGAGAAAATACGGTATTCCCATTAATATTAAGTTGGAAAGAAAGTTCTAGGAAAAAGTTTGACTAGAATTTCTTCAAAACAAATCCACCAATTCAAGAGCATTTTGTTCTACTAATTACAAGTCGACTCCAAGAAATTATTCGTAAAAAAATGAGTGCAGCTGCTCGGTAAAATTTAGATTTTACGTTTACCCTGATAATGCTAGTTTATGGTCTGACTTTAGATCTAACCCTAGCCGATTTTGATGTTAATGTCATTTCTACAGTCTTTTTCTTTCAGTTATCCCACATCTGTTTTCTACATTCTGGGAAATGAGCTATGCGAGCGTTTCTCGTTTTACGGGATGAAAGCGCTGCTCGTCACGTATTTGGTCATCGAACACGCTTTCCCTGAACAGTAAATTCTAAACAATAATTCAGGCTTTAGTTTACTATTACAAATTGTGCTCTAGTGTAGTGTACAAAGTGTACAAACTAGTGTACAAACTGGTGTACAAACTAGTGTACAAAGTATACAAGCTAGTTTACAAACTAGTGTACAAACTAGTGTACAAAGTGCACAAACTAGTGTACAAACTGTGCTCTAGTGTAGTATTCTTTCCAAATTTGTTAGTTTACAGTAGTCTTTATGTAAAAAATATTTAGCCAAGCCACTGGTTTCTATCATTTCTTCACATGTATCGCCTATTTAACGCCACTTATTGGCTCAACACTTGCTGATTCGTATTTCGGAAGGTACGAGAGGATTTCAGCTACCTTTTAGTTTTTAGTTTTAGTTTTAGCTAGTTTTTAGATCGAATTTTTAGATTCAATGTCATCTTTTACGTGTCAATTGTTTACGTGCTTGGCCATGTGTTGCTCTCGTTCGGTGCGATTCCTTTACTATCACAAGGTATGAATGAGGACTAGGGACTTCAACTAGGGAAAAGACACGAAATTCTCTATCGAGCTGGATAAAAGCTACAGTACTTCAAAAGCTACAGTACTTCAAGAGCTACAGTATCTCTTTTCCAGGTATCCGTCTCTTTTTCGACATGGGCGGTTTGTTGGTGATTGCTTTGGCGACAGGAGGGATTAAACCTTGTGTGAGCGCTTTTGCCGCTGATCAGGTGATCAAAAGTTACAGTAATCAATAGCTATGATCTTAAATAGTATCTGCTGTACAATAACCAATAGATATCATATTCAGCTTTATATCGAAATCCATAGAATTTAAAAAAAACTCATCAAAAACCCTATTATTTCCAGTTCGAAGAGCATCAACGCGATCTGCGGGCACAATTTTTTTCCTTTTTTTATTTCGCGATTAACGCTGGATCGTTGATGGGTAAAATATATAAATAAAGATTAAAGAAATAAAGATTAAAGAAATAAAGATTAAAGAAATAAGGATTATTCGTTCCTAGGTATAAACGGATGTGGACTAGAATTTGGGTTAAGTTAAAGAGAGTGGATCCCTTTTGATATCCCCGCCATCTCTAACACTCCGACAACCCAACTCAACTCCTCCAATGTATTAGAGGAGAGTCCCTGTGAAATGACCGACCTGTACTGATATGTACATAGTACATAGACCCGGAAGATATGTATCTTTATTTACAGTAGTACAATAAGACGAATAGATTACAAATGAGTGTAAGGGGAAGGGGGGACTCCAAATGAGAGTCTCACTTGTCCTCCTAGGCTCCTCACTGTCCTCCTAGGCTCCTCACTGTCCTTCTAGACTTCTCACTGTCCTTCTAGGCTCCTCACTGTCCTCCTAGACTTCTCACTGTCCTTCTAGGCTCCTCACTGTCCTTCTAGACTTCTCACTGTCCTTCTAGGCTCCTCACTGTCCTTCTAGGCTCCTCACTGTCCTCCTAGACTCCTCACTGTCCTTCTAGGCTCCTCACTGTCCTCCTAGGCTTCTCACTGTCCTTCTAGACTTCTCACTGTCCTTCTAGGCTCCTCACTGTCCTCCTAGACTCCTCACTGTCCTTCTAGGCTCCTCACTGTCCTCCTAGACTCCTCACTGTCCTCCTAGGCTTCTCACTGTCCTCCTAGGCTCCTCACTGTCCTCCTAGGCCGCCCCTTCTCGGCAATAAAAAGGGATAAGCACAGGGGAGAACACATTTGCATAAGAATAGACAAATCATTCAATAATAACAATAGTAACTAAAATATCAGTTTGGCTCGGAGCTGACAAGATTAAATAAATAAAGATTAAATAAAAACCTAGAATATTTTAGCCTTTTTGGTGACGCCTCGATTGAGATACGATGTAAAATGCTTTGGACAAGATCAATGCTTTCCGCTAGCATTCGGTGAGTACTTTGTGTACTTTGTACACAAATTTTACAAACTACACCCCTCTAGTGCACTTGTTTTCTTCATTTCTTTTCTTTTACAGGTGTTCTTTGTACTTTTGAACTTATAAACAAATACTTTTCTACTTCGAGTTTACCACCAAAAGTTTACAGTACTTTAAACACCGACAGTACAGTACCTAAATAACTGATATGCTTTATCGTATCATACTGTAGTCTATTTACGTCTACAGTATGATAATGTAGTCTATTTACGTCTAAAATATCGTTCTAAGTTTACTAAAAAAATAATTGAAAAGTGGCAAAAAAACAGATTTTTCATCATTTTTCATCATTTTTCAATCAGTTTTTTCTAAGCACTGGTTAAAGCTATAGGTATGTGTTATATATCAAAATAATCCCCATCCTCTCTACTTTAATTTAATACCTAAACGAATAGAAATAAACGTACTAGTGTCAAGTTATGAGCGTTTCTTTGAGAGTAAACTACGCAACGCTTTCTATAGGCTTCTAGAGTATTTATGGTAATAATTACGGTACTTTTAAACTTATAGTATCATTTACAGCATTATTTCTAGTATCAATTTCTATATTCTATCAATTCCTATACTTTTTAGGTGTTCCTGGTGTCCTAATGCTTCTTGCATTAATCCTTTTCGTAATGGGCTGGAAAAAGTACAAAAGATGTCCGCCAAGTCATGAGAATATGGCCGGAATGGTAAAATATCTTTTAAACATAATATTTTAGAGCTAAATTTTAATCTACAGCTATTTTCTTCAGCTATTTCCTCCAAATCTTAAAGATTTGTTTAAAGTTTTACATTTTCAGGTGGCTCGTTGCATCGGAACAGCAGCGATTCGAAAAAATGCAAGGTTAACCTTATTTAAGCGAAAAGATTCTTTTTCTAGCTTTGTAAAATAATAAATTATATATAAACCTGAATGAGAGCTCCTAGTGGGCCATTTTTGGTAAGCAGAACTGGCGCTGTGGAATGGTTAAAGTTGGGTTAAAGTGCTAAACGTTGGGTTAAAGTGCCTAAGTGTCCACTCATGAGACCCCATGAAAGGCGTTAGTTGATATAGACAGCAGGACGGTGGCCATAGAAGTCGGTACCCGCTAAGGAGTGTGTAACAGCTCACCTGCCGAATCAACTAGCCCTGAAAATGGATGGCGCTTGAGCGGACCACTTATACCCGACCGTTGCCGACTTGAGCGCAAATTAACTGGATTACGGTATTCAGTCTAGATTAGCATATTCAATCTAGTTTAAGGTATTCAGTTAAGATCAGCTGGATTAAGGTATTCAGTCTAGATTAGGATATTCAGTCTAGATTGGCTGGATGACAGTATTCAATGTAGATTAGGATATTCAATCTAGATTAGGGCATTGAATCTAGTTTAAGGTATTCAGTTAAGATCAGCTGGATTACGGTTTTCAATCTAGATTAGGATATCTTATTGGTCGCAACGAGTAAGAGGGTCGCGATGGTTTGATATACAGTACTGGACAATGAAATATCATATTCGAAAAACGATCGTCACTTTCGTGCGTCTCTAACTCCCTTGTCTTTGAGTTTAAACTATTAGTGTTATACATTTTCTGAAAGCTCTTTTCAAGGGCTGCACAATGATAATATTAATATTTAGAAATACGGTAAAGACAAGGGAGTTACAGACGCGCGAAAGTGACGATCTTTTTTCAAATATGATATTTCATTGTCCAGTAGTGTATCTAGATTTCAAATTAACATATTAGAGCTTTAATATTTTAGGAAAAGCGAGAAACGTGTGCACGAGCATTGGCTTGATTATGCGAGCCCGGATTTCACGAAATCTGAAATTGCTTCAGTGAAGGTAAAAAGAATTTCATTTCTGGCGAAAATTTTGAATAAGTGAAGCTTTCATCAAATCAAATCTCCTTGGTTCAATTCCTTATCTGGCTTTGCGCAACAGGGCCGTTTGCGCAACTGGGCCGTTTGCGCAACAGGGTCATTTGCGCAACTCGTCATAACGCAACTCGCCATCCTTAGCACGTTACTTTTTTAACTGTTAACAATTTTCAGCTCAATTTTTGCTATAAATTCTAGATCAGACAAGCCATTTTGTTACTTAAACAGCTGCTAAATTGAGAGAAGAATTGATATTGATATTTCGGGGTAGGCTACTTTCCGCCATTTTATTTGCGCAACAGGGTCATTTGCGCAAGTACGTTTGCGCAACAAGGGTCATTTGCGCAACTTTTTTTTGCACAAAAAGGGTCATTTGCGCAACTGGGTCATTTGCGCAACTTTAACACTGTATTAAGCACTCGAATTTTTAATCATTATTTTCATTTTTGAGCTTTTTTTTTTATTGTTTTTTATTTTCTTCTATTTTTATGAAATCTTCCAATTTTTTGCATAATCTTCCAATATTTATCTAAATTAGTCCTTTCTAAGAGCTAATAACCATTAGTAAAGTATTTTATCGCTTTAACAAAAAAGTGCAACCGATAACAATGAAAGTTAGGACAACAATAGCAATGAAATTTAGGACAACAATAAAAATCAAATTTTTTTAATATAAGTCAAAAGCTGAGAAAGATGTTGCACGAAATCGCAACCGGGCAAGCGACCATTAGAAATAGCAGTAAAACGTTGCTTTTGTCGAACCAATACAGTTTTCTTCCGTGTGTAGTTTTGTCCAACAGTGAGATTGATAGCCGATGAAAGCTTGAAACGGTTGATTATTTGCGTCATTTCTTCGTAAAGTCTGACCGCAGTATACGATGGATGCGGATTCTTGGGAAAATGCGGAAAATTAGTTAACAATGGTTTTTAAGAATAAACAAAACCGTACTAGAATTTTAAACAACAAAAAAAAACGCCAAAAACTCCCTTAAAAAAAACGTCCCTTAAAAACGTCAAAAAAGTTGCGCAAATGACCCTGTTGCGCAAAAAAAGTTGCGCAAATGACCCTGTTGCGCAAATAAAAAGTTGCGCAAACGTACTTGCGCAAATGACCCTGTTGCGCAAATAAAATGGCGGAAAGTAGCCTACCCCGATATTTCTGTTCCTATTGATATTTCTATTGCTATTTCTATTGATATTAGTTAAAAGTTTTCTTTCAAAATTGTTTTTTTTAGAGCTTTGTCGCCGTTGCGCTAATCTTTGGACCATTGGTTCTCTTCTGGGCACTCTTCGATCAAATGGTTTGACATTTTGTTACTTAAACAGCTGCTAAATTGAGAGAAGAATTGATATTTTTATTTCTATTGATATTTCTATTGCTATTAGTTAAAAGTTAAGTTAAGTTAGTTAAGTTTTCGGTACGTTTCCAATATCGGGGGAGCGGAAAGATTATCGGGGGAGCGAAAGGAAAATCAGGGGAGCAAATTTTGCCCCCTCGAAAAATGCATTTCCGGGACTGTATTTTAACTGGAACGTTTTTTTTAAAAACTTTAACGACGATGCGCTTCTGCGATATTTGTGCCTCAAGAAATCGACGACAATCGATTATTTCGTCACCAAAGGAGTCATCCAGTCGTGGATTTGCAAATGTGGCGAATCGATGAAAGTCCGCTCAAAGGGAAAAGATCTATTTCGCTGGGTATGTGACACTTGCGCACGGCGAAAGGTCCCCAAGCATTCAAGAGGAATTCGAGTCGATAACTTTTTGCAACAAAGCAAGCTCCCGTTCGTCACAATTTTAAATAGGACATATGTAGCGCTGCCAAAATTTGCTCCCCCGATTTTCCTTTCGCTCCCCCGATAATCGGACCGCTCCCCCGATATTGAAAAAGAACCAAGTTTTCTTTCAAAATTGTAAGCATTTAACTATTCGGCTTTGATTTCAGCTATTTCTAAACATTGTTTTTAACTTAAAAAGAGCTATTCATTAGAGCTATTCATTTTAACTACGTAAATATCATTTGTAGATTTATTAAAATCTATTCAGGGATCCACATGGGTGCTTCAAGCTCGTCGTTTAGATGGACAAGTCGGCTTGATCACGATTCTTCCTGAACAGGTTCGTTGAAAAAGCAACTTGCTATTTTTTTTACAATTCATTCAATTTTTTTTCAAGATTTCTCTTCTCAATCCGCTCATCGTTCTCATCGCTGTTCCCCTTTTTGAAGGTGTCATCTATCCAGCTGTTAGAAAGGTAAAAATTAAACAGGATAACTACAGGATAGAGAATCTGAATCTATTATTACTTTTTAAGGAAATTTTTAACTTAAGTTTATCAAATGTTTAATAGTTTGCCATTTGCTATTAGCAATCTAACTTTAAGCTCAAATATCTTTCTGTTAAACTGTTTAATTAATGTTAAACTTATAGATTCTTAATATCATTTAAAAACAAGAGCTATTTAAATTGGAAATTTCTTTTTTTTAGGTCGTCAAAGTGACTCCATTGAGGAAAATGGCTGTTGGTGGTTTATTGACTGCTGTGTCGTTTGTTGTCGCTGGTTTATTGCAGGTTAGTGCTTTTTTTTCTGAAACAAATCTCATTGTTAGCTTTTAGTTTAAAGTAAACGAATCAATGGAGCTATTGCCTGCACCTGATCACATCTGGGTTCGTCCAATCGATCCACAAATCACCATTCATTTTACTGATCTCAACAATCGTAAGTGTTTTTGGCTAAAATCTTTCCTTATTAATGTATTAGATTGGAAAGAAAGTTCTTGGAAAAAGTTTGCACGATGATTTCTCAAAAACCAAGCCATGAATTCTTCCCAGATTTATTGATAAACTTGACTATATTTCAAAAAGTTTTTAACAAAAAAATCAGAGTGGGCTTTAGGTAAAAGAAAGAAGGGATTTCTTCAGCTGAAGTGACTTGATCACTTTTTGATTGACCAGCCTTTAGACAAGTTTTAATGGGTTAATGAATAGGCAATGGGTTCCATTTAAAACCTAGCTGAATTTACTGTTCAGGGAAAGCGTGTTCGATAACCAAATACGTGACGAGCAGCGCTTTCATCCCGTAAAACGAGAAACGCTCGCATAGCTCATTTCCCAGAATGTAGAAAACAGATGTAGGATAACTGAAAAAAAAGACTGTAGAAATGACATTAACATCAAAATCAGCTAGGGTTAGATCTAAAGTCAGACCCTAAACTGGCATTATCAGGGTAAATGGGTCCCATTCAGCTGAAGTGACTTGTTCACTTTTTGATTGACCAGCCTTTACACAAGTTTTAATGGGTTAATGAATAGGCAATGGGTCCCATTTAAAACCTAAAATAAAGTACTTAAAATAGGGAAAATTCGTGATTAAGGCAAATTTGATCTAATGCTTTAACTTTTCAGAATCACCTATTTTAGCAAAGTGTCAAGAAGATTTTGAATTATTTTTTGCCAAAATAGAGATTATAAAGCTTATTGCTCATTTATGCTAGCTTTACATCATAAGGAATCGTTTTTCTCGTGCAAAAAGTGAGCTGAATTTAAGCTGGAAAAGAATAATTTTTCAAAAATCTAAATTTTACGAAGCAGCTGCATTCATTTTTTTATGAGTAATTTCTTGGAGTCGACTTGTAAATAATAGAACAAAATGTTCTTGAATTGGTGGATTTGTTTTGAAGAAATTCTAGTCAAACTTTTTCCGAGAACTTTCTTTCCAACTTAATATTAATGGGAATTCCGCATTTTCTCTAATAGTAGTGCACTCCGGCGAGCCGAATTGGTGACTATTTTACGGTTTAGCTTTTACCATAGATTTGCTTGAAAATTAAACTCTAGAATTTAGCAATTGATCTCTATTTAAGTATACAATTAGGAGGGATTTCATGATGGTTAACGAATTTGAATGGAGACGGGACAGATTGTGCACGAGAAAACGAAAAGGCCCCTCTTCTGTAAAACCCGTTGCGCCAATTTTCTAACAATCTTTTTTTCATTTTCCACTAAAAAATAGATTGCTTTTTTTACTTATTTAATTTAAAAAAATCAGATTTATGGTGGAACAAAAAATAGGAAATTTTTGAAAAATCCGACATTTCATAGCCGCCAATCCAACAAAACGAAATTTAGCATTTAAAAGTAGGTCAGTATTTGTGACTTTTCCCTGGGTATACTATAGCTTTTGACAGCTATACTGTAACTTCTATGCTATAGACGCTATAGTATGCTTATCAAAGTTTTGTAGCTTGGCTACTTTAACCTAGTACTATCTTTTTTTTAGTAACACAAAACGGTGATCGATTCGAGTTACCGCGTGGGCTTCACCAGCTACAAATTGATGGAAAAGATTATACATTGAATGGAACGATGAAGGGTGATGCGGTAGCGATTGGGATGATCGATGGAGTGAATGGGTGAGCAAAGAAATTTTTTGATTTCCTTTGCAAATACTATAGATTTACTTGTGCTATAAGTTTGCTAATTGATTCAATATTACTGTAGTTTCTTTCGCGTAGTGCTTCAAGTACTTTGTGCACCAGGAATTTGCAAAACAAATCTCTTCTGACGTACTTGACGAATCCTTTTCAAAGTAAAGAGATGACAGGGAAATGGTCTCACTAGGGAACTGTTTCAACTTACCACCGATTTTCGAAACCAGATCTAGCTACAAATTCTAAGAGATTCTGAAAATTTCCCTGTAGAATTCTAAGAAACTTCTTTTATTTCTTCCCATTAGCCCTAGTTTTTGAGAAAATCTTTTTTATACTCCTGACAAAAAAACGAGGAAATTTGGCGGCAACCGGGATTGAACCCGCGAGCAAACAGCAAACATGGGATAGGTTTTGAAAATCTAGTACACTATCCCCTAGGCCACCGCCGCCTTTGCGGATTCTCGATGTGACGCTCTCTTATACGTGAGGTTTCCGAAAATTGCCGAAACTGGCACGTTTTTCTCGAAAATCAAGGGAAAAATATATTTCGGACTCTTTATGAGGCCGCCGTCGGGGAGCTCCCGACGGTATCTATGGTCTAGTGGATAGTGTGCTAGTCCGCAAAACCTAGGTGATTCTTTGGCTTGGGTTCGAATCCTCTCCTGACCAATTTTCCTGCTTTCTTTGAAAAATTCTTCTTTTACATTAAAAATTTCCGTTTTATGCATCATTTTACTTCTAAAGTTTTTCAGAAAAC